GCCCCCGCGCGGCCCGCGGTGCGGTGAGCCCACAGGAGCGCCCCGACAGCGCCCGCCCACCTGCCGTGAAAGGCAGTTGTGCCAGCCAGTGGCACGGCGAGCTCGCAGGCTAGCTCCGCCTACGTGTGGCTCAAAGGAGAGGGCGACTTCCGCGAGAGGCGCCTTCCCAGAAGACCGCGGCCAATCTACGCCGAAGTTCTCATTGGTCCAACCGGATCATAGACTCCCGCCCAAGGGGTTAGTGGGACCTCTGATTGGATAAAACCTCCAAGTTCCGTCCTGGGACGCGGGGGTGGGTGGGCTCTCCGGCAAGAGGCGGTCCTTTAGTAGGAGGATGGGCTATGTGTGCCATGTCGGGGGCGGGGGTGGGCCGGCAGAGGGGGAGTCAGGCTGCACCGCGAGGGCGCCAGGAAAACCCCGCCGAGATTGTGAGTGAAGCCCGCAGAACCTCTGCTGAGCTCCACCCGCTCAAGTACCTGAGCTGGTCCTAAAGAATACATAGAGGAAACCAATTTATGTTAAGTGGGGATTTAAACGAAAAGTGAGGCAAGAGTTGAGGGTGTGGGTCAGGCTTGAAGTGGCAAAAGTGTGCCAAATAGGGAAACTTACCTTCTTGTGTCCTGTGAATTGCGGGGCTAGGAAAACCGCCAGCCTCCAGCTGTCTCAGAGCTTGGTTGATACTTTGATTCTTTCTGTTCTCCAGCCTTGAAACTAGCTGCATTTCAGCTAATCTGGAACCTAAGCTGATTTTTTCTTTCTTCTTTTTTTTTTTTTTTACTGGATTTTTGTTTAAAACAACAGGCTCAGTAGAATGGAACCAGTTAGCCCCGTCAGTGGCTCAGTGGTTGAGTGTGGACCCATGAACCAAGAGGTCCTGAGTGCAATTTCCCGTCAGGACACATGCCTGGGTTGCAGGCGGAATCCCCAGTAGGGGGCATGCAAGAGGCAGCCGATTGATGTTTCTCTCTCACCCATGTTTCTATCTATTCCTCTCCCTCTTGCTCTACAACATAAATCAATAAAAACATGTATATATATAAAAAAAGAATGAAACCAGTTAGCATGGGCTTTGGGAAATTTAGAGTTTACAACATAAATTTAAAAATTTGGTTTCTTCAGACACAAGATTCTCAGGTCCATCCGCTGCTCTGAGGGACTAAATAATTCCTTGCATATAAATCTGTGGGGGCCCTCTGGGAATGTGAGGTTTCCTAACTTGCCCCATCTTTAGAATGTGCATGCATTCAGCTCATACCTTGTTAGCTGCCTACACTATGGTGTACCTTTTGCTTGAATTCCTAAGAGAATCCTTGCTCAGATTTCAGGACAAATTTAGGAACTGGGTGGGCTCTAATGCAGGTATCCCTCCACCCCCACCTACTTATCTACAGTAGGTGAAAATTTTGGATTATAAAAAATTAAGTTGTAGACTGAGTAGAGAGGGTGAACTAGCATCTATGGAGCAGTATTCACACTAAAATGTTTTTATAAAGCCTGAGACAATAAAATTAGGATGTAATGTACAGAAATCCAAATCATAGCATCAATGGAATGAAAATGAGAGTTGACTTACTACATGCCCACTAGGTTGAGTATCTACTGCTTTAAGTTTCCTCATGTTTCCCATCGAAGCCATTTTTATTTTGTTAACAGATGGTCCCTGCCACCAATCCAATGCCAACAGGAGTCCACAATCTGGGGTGGTTAAAAGGAGAGACTGTTTTCGAACCAGAGAAACACAGCTTGGGTGGAAACCGAAAGGTGTGCTCTTCCACTCGCTCTCCAAAGGAGAGGCCCACTTTTATAAAGTCTCTGCCCTGGTCCCTGATTGGTCTATTTCTATGCAAAAGCTGAATCTAAATTTACACATTTTAATTGGTCCACTTAGCATTGTCCTGATTGGTTAGAATCAAGCACCCACCTGGTCGTTATGGAGATGCTTTGATTGGTTGGTAAAGATGCAAAAGAGGATGTAGCACACAGTTCCAAATGAACAGGGCATATCTCGGTCGAAATATGATTCCAGAAACTTCTTTATAAGGGTTGGCTCCAATGGCAAGAAGTCTTGGCAGCCTGACCTGTTGTGCCTCCCTAAGATGCATTATGCATGAGAGGCCTGGGTCAGCAATGGCTGCCAGGTTCTGGTTATGAATTTGAGTCCAAGTAGCCAGGAGGAGCCCTTCCCGACAGGTATATTTCTTCTCAGAGTCCATGGTTTCATTCTGATAACTTTGGTGGAGGTATCATTACTCCCAGTTTTACAGATGAGGAGCTGAGAGACAAATTAAATGATCAGCCTGGAGCCATAGAGCTGCTTCAAATCTAGAAAAGCTGGTTAGGAGGACATTGTCCAGCTCTAAGGTCTTGTGAAAACAAGGCTTTAGCCCTGAGAGGCAGCAGAGCCAATAGCAGGAGGGTGAGAGGACTGGTTTGTGCCTCCATCATCTAAAATTGTGCTTGACCCATAGCAAAGACTCAGTAAATACTGTGTGAATAGACAGACAGGTCTGGGTTCAAATCATTGCTCCACAACATTCTAATGGTGGTGATTCCACTCGAACCGTCACTTCCCTACTCTTATAAGCAAGCCTGGTGTTTACCTCCCCTGTAGTCCTTGATTTGGGGAGGTTAGAGACACTCCTAGCTCTTAGGCTCTGTCCTGAGTTGTGGAGTAGTGGGGCGCCTAGTTCGGACCATCGAGTCTGGAGAAGGATTTCATAGGAGATTTTGGGAAAGATCTTTTCCCGTTTCTCCTTCTGGACATGTGATATGTGGATGGTGCTACTGCAGCCATCTTATCTCCTGAGGGGGGAGCCCCTTAGGATAAGGCAGACTGTTGGGGGCCAGATGTAAGCTGGCAAGGTCCTTGCACCTGAAGGGGCTAGCAAGGCTGGGACCCTTACCCACACAGTTTTCCCAGACTTGTTTGGATGGCGATTATCAGTAGAATGAGAACAGCCTTTCATGGCTCACCAAGAAGTCTGTAACTATTTACTGAGATATGCTGTACTGAGAACTTGTCCTTCTGCTGTGTCTCTCCCTTAGAGATTAAGAGGAACAAAGAATACATTCCTCTTGACAGACCTCCTATTCAGTGTGTT